TTAAGAAACACTATGATTGATGGCCTGTGATAAGTATGACGATGTTCTAATATTTGACGGAGGGTGAAGATATGATCAGTGCATCCTCGATCAGGAAGAAAACCAACTACCTCCTCGCGAGTCAATCTTTCTTGGGTTTCGAACAATCTACAAAGTATGTACGACCGAGAGTGGGGAGGGTCCGCTCTCCCTCACGAAATGCTCTCACATGGTCACGCGTATATAGCCACTGCCAGGGAAGTCCTACTCACTGCCATCACGTGGTGGGAGTATTGCTTACGAAATTGAGAGGATAAAATCGAACGTCCGGTGATTTAGCCGGGTTGGTGGACACGAAGAGTCCACCTAGGACAGTTGGAAAAACCTGATTCCAAACTATTGGTGCATATGGGCTCCAGTATCCTGAGGGAACAAATAGCGTATGAACCAATTATAGGCCACCGACTACCATGCGACTGCATCTCCTTACGTTGCTCCACTGCCCTGTGGATTGGACCTTTGGGTCAGAGTGTGGCCTCCTAAGAAAATTACCTGATTCGGTCTGGGCATCCGGGCAGTATCACAGCTCTCACACAAATCGAATGAGGTCTGTGTGGCGCATATCTATTTAGTGCCTTCTTGTACCAACGTTTATGTGTTGAAATAAATAAGTAATAAATTATTTAGCTAAAAGGGCGAAAAATGGGACTTGCTTGGATAAGACTTGTTCCTTAATGTTAGTTCGAACACACAGTAGAGATCGATATGGATTGAATCATGATGAAGCAGGTAACTATGGAAAGCAAAAGATTAAAAGGTCAAATAAATAACGATACATAAGTGTCTGTAACAATGGAGACTAGAATTCGTTAATGAACTAACGGAAGAAGAGGTAACATGCCTAAAATCTTGATGCGGAGTTTATTCACCTATGTCTTAGTGGAATTTTAGGATAATAGTTGATGTCTGTTCTTGAAGAAAACACTTATTTCATTTCTTAACCTAAATCAAATTGATCGCAATACGTCCACCAGTCACATGGATATGTGCGCCTAAGAGACAGTCTTCTCCGTTTTTGAAAGGAAGACTTTTAAAATTAGTTATTTCAAATAAAGTTAAGGCGTTCCAACAATATGGGAAGACTAACCTCAAGTGCAAGTTTGACGCGTGCTCTCAGATGTGACCTAGAAATTCGTTCCAAGCTCGTTGCAAAATAGCCTGAATAAAGAACATTAATTTCTGGACAATCAAGCTTTAATTGCTAATGAATAAAGCAGTAGTAAATGAGCTTAACGGAATCCTTCGATATGCGGAATTCAAGAATAAAATATTCCAGTTATTTCATAATTATTAGATCAAAGGGTATACAGTATTAATTCGTAAAGAGTTTCCAAAAGTTATAACAATCTCGATATTTTATTCGTCAAAATATGTTTCCTGGTGATGACAGGAGACGATTAAGGTCATTGACATACAAGAGGAATAGCAGTGGCCTCAAAACTGTACCTTGGAACATTCTACTAAACACAGTTTCCCACCTAGATAATTTGGAGTTCACCCGTACTCTTTGTTGGCGCCCAACATGTTAAGCCTTCTATCCACACCAGTAGATTGCTTCCGATTCCGATATTTCTTAACTTATATAACAGCCGGTTGTGCGGAACTTTGTCAAAAGCTTTTCTAAAATTAATGTACGCTACATCTACAGGTAACTTTTGGTCCTTAAGAGCGCACCAGCTTTCACGAGCCACTAATAAGTTTGTGAGACAAGAGAAACCTATCCTGAAACCGTACTGCTTCTCCGAAAGGATCCGGTTTTTATCGAGATACTTAAACAGCGCCTTCCGTATAATATTTTCTAAGATTTTAAGAACCACACTAGATAGGCTAATGGGGCGGTAATTCTCAGGTTTGTGTTTCGTACCTGTTTTGAAGACAGGACTTACTATGGCAATTTTCCAGTCTTTTGGTAAACGACCCTGCTTAGTGGATAGGTTAAAGCATATACTTAAAGGGCTTGCAACGAATTTAGATAATTCCTTCAGTAGCCTGGGATGTAATTCATCGGGCCCCGTAGATTTACCTATGTCAAGCTTATTTAGCAGACCAAAGACATCGAGTTCACGCTATCCAGTGTATGTGTGTTGAGATTTGTGTGCGCTGACGGGAAGGGTGCTTCTATGGTATATACACTGCTAAAGTAGTTTGGGAATACTTGAGCCTTACCAAAGTCGTCTTCCACTAATGATGCGGCAGTACTGTCTCCCCATAGAACAAGAATATTTCCTCTTCTCTTTGTCCTTTGGTTTATATAGGAATACAATCGTTTAGGACATTCGATGGATTTCTGAACGACTTACTCTTCGTACAACTTTCTAGACCTACGGAGGGTCGAGGCACAGGTTTTCCGAGATTTTCGATACTGCGATTTTGTCACGTCAGTCCACAGTGACCTAAATTTATCCCACATTTTTCTTCTCTTACGGAGGAGGATGCGGAGCTCTCTACTGAACCATGGTAGCGAGTTTCTCGACCCTCTTGGTAAAGTTCAAGGAATATGGTGTGCAGTAACTTTTAAGTATAAATTCGCAATGCGTCCCAAGCCGTTTCAATTGAGGACTCTGGGTTTATTTTCTAATCTACTAACGATGCTGAGTGCATGATATCTGGTATGTTTGCTTACCGGAAGTTAGGTCTGGATTGAGCTAACGCGTGCTCGTGACTGACAGTTATGTGGAAATCAAAAGTTAAAACTGCGTGATCACTTTTACCTAAGGGTGGAATGTAATGGAGGTTCGCAACGTCATCCTCATAGTTAGTCGATATAAGATCTAGTAAGGATGATTCAGAGTTCGGGTCGTACATTATCGCTTCTTTCACGTGTTGTACTAGGGCACATGTGATAACCGCATCAACTAGTTCCTGCTCAAAAGAATTATCTGACGATTCAGTTCGCAAATTTTTCCAGTCTACCATAGGTCCATTAAAGTCCCCTAGGATTAGACATCGACCACTTTTTGACCAAGTATTGAGACTGCTCAGCAGGACCTCGTTTACCTCACAGCTTGGACTGAGATTGACCAAACCAATCAGCAGCTCTTGTCTCTTGCATTCCAAGCGGCAGCTAAATAATTCACACGTCCCACTCTCATGGGATACACTATCGATAATGGCGAATGGGATGGAATTTCTAATGAACAGAGCTATTTCCTATCCTTTACACTTTTATATTCTGTCAACCCTTACTAATTTAAACCCCTCGAAATCATGTTCTATACTATCTATAGACTGTGTCAGTCAGGTTTCTGTGACTGCGATTATGTCTGGCTTTGTAGAGTCAATCTGTCCACCTAGTTCCGATCGCTTATCGAGTAAGCTCCGGGCATTAGTGTAATAGATCGGAAGCCTGTTTAAGTAGTTTCGTGCTTCACCCAGAGTGGCTTCTGCATCATTCTCCATCGAAGAATTACAATCCGAAAATTGAAATTTTTTATACTTTTCACCAGCGTCTAACCTAGGTTGTAGTTCTTTTTCAGCTTCCCGTCTTTTTACACGGTCTGTCAACGGCAAGTTCTTAGGCATAAAAAAATCCTGAACCCTTTAATTTGTGTCCATTCTGTAAAATTAGGTCGCGTTCATCCGAAGATTCGAACACTACTTTAAGCAGTCTGGATTGATTGGGCTTCAAGTTCGCTAGATTTCCTAGTCTGTACACATTTAGCAAGGTTACTCCGAGTATATTTTGAGGCATGAGTTGATTAAGTAGCCGTTTTATCAACACAGTGTCATGCTCAAAACGAGTTTCTCGTTCAGAGCTTTCATCCCCCCTCTTGATTCTGTGAAAAATAACTGATCTGTCACTGCGATCAGCCTTTGATTTCTCGACTGCTTTTACAGGGGCAGGATTCTTTTTTATATCGTTATGTTGTTTCTGTTAGGTATGCAGAGGAATCTGCCAATAATTATCGTGTCAAGTCGAATGGTGTCCTTGGACATTAAATGTACATTTCCTATTGGTCGATATTTGCTTCAGCTGTTTAATATTGTGTAAATGTTGTTTCCTATTTTTATGGTACGATGTGGTATGCTTGGTTAGTATATAAACAGAGTGTGTTTGAAATATAATGATTCATATCTCAGAGGCTGTGGCTTTGTTCTGGACTCAACTGGCTGGGGTAGACAGGGAAGCAGGGCCAATCAGGGCACTAGGTCGTTCGTACGTATTTACGTGTCACTGTAACCGGTCGATCGATATAAACGCTGCTTATCAATAACCTGCAGTCACTCACTCGTTACAACAATTGGCGACGGGGTAGAGAAAATTTGGAACCCTCTAATTGGACGAGATTCAGCTTAATTATTTTGACCAATCAGCGTCCGAATTTATTATCGGTGTTCTTGGAAGTCATTTGTTGTTAATTGGTCACAGTATTTCTTATTACCCTGCTGTCTCAGAAAATGACTATGCTTCCCGATCAATTAAAGCTACTACTTGACCGCCAGCAGCAGCGTTTCAGACAGTGCCAGTTGAATGTTTTGGACAATTTACGCACGCGACTGCTGAATCTCCCGTGTTTTGGAGATGTGAAAGAAATTGATGAATTAATTTCTCAGCTGCATACTGAACTCGAGAATGACTGCAGGAGGTATGAATATGAAAACAAAAGCCTCTATGAATCCTTAACGAGCAGCAATGCAAACGAGGCAGTCGCTCATGATCCGTCCAGCGATTCAGAAATGTCCAGTTCAGAAGCATGCCCTGTCGTGGGTTCAAATCCCACTGTGCCCGAAACATGTGAGGTATACAGCTCACAAGAAGAACTCCTCGTGCCAGAAAGTGTGTATCATGCATCAAATAATGGTCAGGAATCTAATACAAATTTCAAGGAAGCTGTTTATTCTAGTGACCTATTATCCACTGATGGAATCTTGAAGAGTTCTGGTGAATATGTTTCACAAGAATCAAACCTGAATGACCTCATGTCTGGTGTCGCTAATCCTCATCGTCTAGTCGGTTTTAATGATCCCTCTACTCAATGCGCGAAATATGCTTTAAATAGAATCAGACTAACTGTTACTTGGGTACATGAGGACCCAACATTATTCCGCGGGGGAGGACGGACGCAGAAAATTTTAAAATCCGGATATCAACTCCGGATCCTCAAAAAAGAGGGGGAGGTGTTAGGTATGCAGAGGAATCTGCCAATAATTATCGTGTCAAGTCGAATGGTGTCCTTGGACATTAAATGTACATTTCCTATTGGTCGATATTTGCTTCAGCTGTTTAATATTGTGTAAATGTTGTTTCCTATTTTTATGGTACGATGTGGTATGCTTGGTTAGTATATAAACAGAGTGTGTTTGAAATATAATGATTCATATCTCAGAGGCTGTGGCTTTGTTCTGGACTCAACTGGCTGGGGTAGACAGGGAAGCAGGGCCAATCAGGGCACTAGGTCGTTCGTACGTATTTACGTGTCACTGTAACCGGTCGATCGATATAAACGCTGCTTATCAATAACCTGCAGTCACTCACTCGTTACAACAGTTTCTTCCTTACAACCTGTACCCATTCGTCGACGTTGCTTGGAGAAGCAACCACAGTCGCGTAAAACATACTGCTGGCTTAAAGCAGATGCTTTTTAAGGCATGCTTTTTCATGTTACGACACATTGCCAGGTCTCCGTTATCTTTCGTTGTAGTTAATTTAAACAGCCTATTGCAGCAAGCGTAGTAAGTTTGGCAGATTTTAATTGGATTGTATATGTCACGTGTATCCCCTTGATTCGACAGATATAAAGAGCAGACAAAGAATTTGTTGCCATTCTGAGCGTCTTCTACATTGCTCTCTTTATTATTTGAGAAAAAAGCGAAAAAAGTGAAGTACAATTTTGCTTGCATATGAAGCAAATCTTGAGAAACAACCATCACACGCTTACAAACACTATGTGATAGCTAAAAAATGTACACAAAGTAATATCAAAATCTTTTGTAAAAGGAGAACAAAATACACATGAATAGAAATATCTCAACTGTGCAAACTGTAAGATCCAAACTACGTTTGGACTGCTGGACAGCTGTCTGGATGAGTTAGATACGCGCCCTCGCCCGATTGAAACCAAAACAAAGTAATTGGGTAAGATAGCGGTTCTATAATTTATCATAAATTTAAGTGTACATTATTACCTAAACAAATATAACCACTCAGCTATCCAACCAATAATTGTTTAATTGATCAACTCTAAACTATAATAAATAAGAACGTTGATAAAGGATGCAAGAAAATTACCAATCACCACAAATAAATGTTATTCTATCCTGTCTGGATAGATCACGTACAGATTCGTTCAAAAGGTAATACTTGGTCGCTCTATAACCCAGAGTGTTTTCAATTCTGGAAGAGTGCTTCAATTCACAACAAAAATGCACAGTCCCAGTCAACGCAGGTCAAGCAATCACAAACAGGAACAAACCAAAATGGCTGCCGCCAAGACTTAGTATAAAGTAAAACAACATAAGTGCAGTTCGGGAAGAAGCATAGGGAATTAGTGAAGGTGTGGTAAAAACGAAAACTATAATAAAATACAAATATTAACAATTCAACTGTAGTCAAAAAGTTAACATTGTACGGCTAAAAGAATCAATAGGAACAAAGTGCAAGTATATACATGGAGGGATTTTCACGAACACACAAAGCATTCAAAATGGATCTTACACCGGCCCCCAAAATCCCTCCATATCACACAAGCTACCTTGATGCCTATGGTCATGGTTCATTATGTAGCATATGACACTATAGGAATGAATAGGACTTACAACAGTACGCCTACTCGACCTACCTACATTGATAATACGAGGAACTAATTCGAGCCTTCAAGGAGGCATAATCTACGTATATCTCTCCTGACTAATCCACCGTTCGTACGAACAACCACTGTTCTAACTCTTCCGTCGTCATCTATTTCACAATCTTCAACTACTCCTAAGGGCCATTTTCCACGCGTCGATATGTCCGAAGCCACGATCACTACATCCCCTTTCTGAAAATTGCGGTGTTCAACTAACCACTTTTGACGTTTTTGTAGGGATGGTAAATACTCTCTTAACCACCTTTTCCAAAACACATTAGCAAGATGATTAACCTGTTTCCAACGTTTGTCATATTTATCTCTGATGCTACCTTCTTCGACTATTCCGTCACATTCTCTCAATAACAACAAACTGTTTGGCGACAAAGCTAGTTTATCGTTAGCATCTTGAACGACCGGAGTTAAGGGTCGATCGTTCAATATCCTTTCAATCTCAATCAAATAAGTGTTTAAAGTCTCATCGGTTAGAGTCTGCTCTCTAGTTATCAGCAATAACAGTCGGCGTATGGACCTAATCATCCTTTCCCAAACCTCACCCCTGTGGCTGGCTGAGGGCGGGTTAAAATGCCACTGAATCTGCCTAGCTGACAGTTCTTTGTCTATTTTCTGTTGATTCAACTGTTGCACAAATCTCCTTAACTCAGAGACCGCACCCACAAAATTTGACCCATTGTCACTGTAAATTTCTGCAGGTTTCCCTCTTCTTCCAATAAAACGTAGCAAGGCCATTATAAACGAATCAGTATTCAAACTGTGTGTCAGTTCAATATGTACTGCTCGGGTTTGCAAGCAAGTAAATATACATCCATACCTTTTTTCTAATGATCTTCCTCTTTTGACAAAAAGGGGTCCAAAGTAATCTACTCCCACGGCCGAGAAGCTATACCATCCTTGTTGCACTCTACAAGCTGGAAGTGGTGCCATCAATTGTTGCCCTGTAACCATCGTATACCGCCGGCAGATCACACACTTTCCTATCACTCTCTTAACCGTGCTGGTCCCTTTTATTATCCAATAACTTTTCCGAATCGTGGCTAGCACTTGTGACGTTCCTGTGTGACCTTGTTCCTTATGATAATGTCTAATTATCATTTCTGTCACTAAATGTCGACTGGGCAATATTATTGGATGTTTGAAGGCATTTGAGAAATCTGAGTAGCTTAGTCGACCTCCAACGCAGAGTAACCCATCAAGCATTATCGGTGATAAGCCCTTCAGATCATTGTGACTAACTACTTTACTATCGTTTTTAAATCCACTAAATATTTCTCCATACACTTCTTTCTGAACCATCAATAAAATTTTACGCTTGGCGATGTCAAGTTCTTTGACCTTTAAACATCCTAGATGAACGGATCCTTCATGACTCGGTGAACGAAGCACCATCAGGAATTCTATGAACCTTCTAAGCCAGGCTACGGCCCTGACTAATTTCAACCACTCGGAGTAATAAGAGAGAATAGGTGACATGTTGTGCTTTACACTACCCAAGTTAACCACAGCGGTTTTTCTAAACTCAATATCGTCAGGAGTAGGTTCCGGACAGTCCGTGATTGTTGTACAGAACTCGCCATGCAGTAAGGTAGGACATTTGAACCAAGATTCCAGATCAGTCATTTTTTGTATACCTCTTGAAGTCCAATCAGCTGGATTGTGTGACGACTTTACATAATTCCATTGTTCAACCTTCGTATACTGGTGAACCACGGCGAGGCGGTTGGCTATATAGGTGCTATATCGGTTCTCGACATTCTTAATGTAGTATAACACTATCATGGAATCTGTATGGAAGTTTACTTTGCAGAAAAAATTAGGCAGACTTCTCCGTAATACTTCACTAAGCCTCACACTTAACACCGCTGCCGCCATCTCAAGTCTCGGTATAGTGACTTGTCTGATAGGTGCTACCCTAGACTTGCTGTACAACAAGATACAATATGGTGGTTCCTTCAAATAACTGACTCGTGCGTAAGCAACTGCTCCATAACCAACCTCTGAAGCATCACTGAACAAGTGCAATTCCACTTTCGCGTCGGGTTCGTCGATTCTCCTCTTGATACCTCGAGCTATCGTGACGTGACCTATCTGACGCATAAAATTTACCCAGCTTAGCCATGCGGATATGTATGGCTCGTTCAGAGGCTGATCCCAGCCTATTTGGGACTTACATAATTTTTGCAAGAGCAGTTTGGCAGTAAGACAGACTGGAGCAATTAAACCCAAAGGATCGAACAGAGAAGAAACTATGAATAGAATCCCTTTCATAGTCGGAAGCCTTTCAATACCATTTGTATACTTGATATACAGAATGTCATCTTTCAACAATCTACGCTTCAAACTCTGTAGTCTACTGTTTGCCACTTCATAATTCCCCCCTCCCATATTTGGGTGCACTTTCCATGGTATAGGGACTCCAAAATGACCATTTACGAAGCGTGTGCCACCTTCCACAATCCTTATAGCCGTCTTGTCGTCTACTGATAATGATTTATCATTTGAATAAACATCAGAAAACTCTACATCATAAGGTTTACGTATTTTGTTCTCCAAAGTCTGTAATTTACTGGTATGATTAACTACTCTTTTCCTATATTCCGAACATAACGCAGGTCCGAAAACCGTCCACCCCAGCAACGTCTTCACAGCGTACGGGCTTTTTCTTCCGCCCAACCGCTGGTCTAACACCCAGTGTGCTTCTGGTATGTCGCAACCAATCAACAGTAAAACTTCTTCAGAGTCTAGGCTATCTATTGGTACATCACTTAAATGCGGCCACTTAACTAGGTTGTTCATTGCTGACTTTGTTGGCTTATGACCTGGTATACGTGCTACAATCAGAGCTCCTTCAATCGTAACATGTTCAGATCGATCTAAAGAATATACCTCGAAAGGCGCACTCGTGACCTTCATTGTTCTATTACCGCCTACAGTCTCAACTACCACTGATGCTTGGTCTTCGTTCAGCCCGAGATACCTCAAACAGTTTGATTTTATCAGTGTCACATCAGAACCGTTGTCCAACAGAGCGTAACCCACAATCTCGGCTTTTCGCGATTTCAACCGTACGGGAATCATGCCTAAACACACTTGACTGATTAGTGATTTAGTATATCCGCAACAACTCGAGGTACCAGGTTTCTCACTCTCGCTGTGTAACAAAGAATGGTGTTTCCTTTCACAACCCTCAACGTTACAACGTTTTGCCAGCTTACATTCACTAACTTTATGCCCTTGCCTGAGGCAGACAAAACAGATGCCATTAACCTTCGCGTGAGACCATCTCTCTTGAACGGTAAGCGCTAAAAATTTTGGACATTTATAAATAGCATGGTCTAGGGAACACACACTGCATTTAGCTTTCTCTTTCGAATTATTCGCCTGCTCCAATTGCAAGTGACAATTTGTCTTTACGTTGTGTCCCTTTCTCGGACGATTCGCTAACCGTCCAAACCTACTATTAGCTACCCTCGCGCGGGATGCTATAAATTGTGTAAGCTCGTCAAAGGTCGGTTCTCTATTATCTTCAGTCAATTCATCTACCCAGTCCGCCCATTGGGCTTGCATAACTTGAGGTAAGAGTCCTACTATTCTCTCTAAGGTAATTAAAGAATTTAAGTCGGCAGTATACTTCATCTGTTTCAAAACCATAGAACAATTTTCCATCCTAATAGCTAGATTTGTTAGTTGCTCAGGATCACTGTAATCAACATTTGTAGTTTTGAATAAGTCCTCTAAAGTCTCCCGAGCGATTACATGCGCCTGTCCGAACAACCGTTTTAGAATTTCTTTGGCCTTTTTGTAACCAAAAGAGGCTTCCAACATAACACAACCCTCAATGGCTGTTTTCGCTTTACCCTTACAATAATGTATCAAATAAAGCAAGCGTTGACCATCATCCTTGACCCTTGATTCCACATAGGTCTCAAACTCCCTTAAAAACTTCCAGTAACCTCTTGGTTGACCGTCGAAATAACTTAACTCAACCTTTGGTAACTCTGGACCTATGAAAAACGCCGACGGCCTTACGTCTTTTGCTTGCTTCACGTCTAAATTAAGGTTTTCTATGCCATCTGACATTATATCACAACTAGATTCACTATAATTACAATCGTCCCTATTAGAATATGAACCATGACACATAGAAGCATCAGAAGGCACTTGCTTTGATTGAGGGGATCCATCCTTTTGTTCATCTCTTTTAACATCCACAAGCCTTGGACTTAATTTCCTTCGACGATTGTTTGGCATCGGAAGCGAACGACCAGATATTCCCAGAGACGATGATTGGAATCAACGAAACGAAAGCCAAACGAATTCGACCAAATATATTTGTTTAGAACTGTAAGATCCAAACTACGTTTGGACTGCTGGACAGCTGTCTGGATGAGTTAGATACGCGCCCTCGCCCGATTGAAACCAAAACAAAGTAATTGGGTAAGATAGCGGTTCTATAATTTATCATAAATTTAAGTGTACATTATTACCTAAACAAATATAACCACTCAGCTATCCAACCAATAATTGTTTAATTGATCAACTCTAAACTATAATAAATAAGAACGTTGATAAAGGATGCAAGAAAATTACCAATCACCACAAATAAATGTTATTCTATCCTGTCTGGATAGATCACGTACAGATTCGTTCAAAAGGTAATACTTGGTCGCTCTATAACCCAGAGTGTTTTCAATTCTGGAAGAGTGCTTCAATTCACAACAAAAATGCACAGTCCCAGTCAACGCAGGTCAAGCAATCACAAACAGGAACAAACCAAAATGGCTGCCGCCAAGACTTAGTATAAAGTAAAACAACATAAGTGCAGTTCGGGAAGAAGCATAGGGAATTAGTGAAGGTGTGGTAAAAACGAAAACTATAATAAAATACAAATATTAACAATTCAACTGTAGTCAAAAAGTTAACATTGTACGGCTAAAAGAATCAATAGGAACAAAGTGCAAGTATATACATGGAGGGATTTTCACGAACACACAAAGCATTCAAAATGGATCTTACACAAACGTTTTGGTTTTTTTTCTGTTTTTGATACAAAAATGTTGAAAAGAAAACCGAATGGCTGTAGGAGACAAGAACTTATGACATGCTCTACATACGGTAGTCGTTCAGGTGTTCTAGAAACATTACAGCTCCTTCAGAGCGTTCGTCTTATACCGGTCATCAGATATCAACGAAGATTCTCCGTGATATTTAACTATCGATGGTTCGATCGCAGTCATGAATATTGTGTCGCTTGATTTTTTTCATGTGAAATTTGGCATAGACGAGCTTTCCTTCTATGTAAGTGGCCTTAAACCCATTGATGTTCATGTAAACTTTGGTTCCATCCTTATCGATAACATAGTACCTAGGTTAGCGATGAAGAACTCCGTAAGGTCCTTCACATGCAGTTGCGAGGGGTCGGTGTAGCGAGTGGTGATTTACGGAAACCTAAGTACTAAGCCATAAAGTAGATTTGGATAAAATTCCAGTGGCTTGCATCCGAGCAAATCACAGGTTCAGCTGAAGTCATCACGTTCGTGATTGTAGTGGCATTAGACTTTAACCACACAATCCTCAGAGCTGAATGCGAGACGACTGGGAAAATAGATAGTCAACATTTAAAGCGGAGAATAACCCAACGATGGAATAAGTGCGAAGAGTAAATAATTTCATTCGAAGTTCAAATTCATCGGATGGCATGGCTCGGCCTCGCAGGTGTTGTCATGCTATTTCGACAAACTGTTCTAGCCTTCACTATCACTGACTTTCTCCAAGTGTTATATGTTGGACGTCAGTCTTCTCAGTAATTATATGTCCAGCTTCCACTAAATTAGTGGTTTATGATATATTGCTACCCGTTGTTCCCTTAGTTTTAAAAGTTCGGTGTACAACGTATCACTCAAAACTGTGTGGTTTGAATTGTGTACAAGCTTCAGTTAAGGGTTGAATAAACACATATTCTCACAGATAAACTTGAGCACTGTGACTGAATCCGGTTGTAGCCAAAATCAATCATGATAACTGAGTGCAGTTCTATGTGCTTAGTAATAGATATTTCTGCTATTCCTTTGTGTGCACTTCTATGTATGGTTATGATCGAAGAACAACCCTCATTCTTCTTCTTGAGTGCAACATTATACATCACAACCGTTAACCTTTGTGAATTATTTTTAACCCCGTGGTCTATGGAAAGGTTTTTGTTCATATTTACCTACAAATAAGTCTATTTAATCATATTACTCCATATTTTAGCATTTTCTTGCTGGTAGCAGGTTTGTCGCAGTTGACACTTGGTTTCGGCTTCGAACATGATCGTTCAATCTTCTTGACTGTTCACTAAACGTCCGTACAGATAATCATCCAGAATTCTAGAATTACTGTACTTTACATCGATTGTTTTTGTTACGTTAGCTTCCAGCACATGAGTCTCTTAAAGGCTGTTCATGAACAATTGCAATTAATACTCTACGGACAGAACGAATCATGAAACTTTACGTTCATCCTTAGTGACTAAAAACTGGATTACTGAAATACCAGTCGATTTCATTCTCGAGCATGTTAATATGTATACGCTCATTTTTTGAATTCAGAGGACAATTTTTTAACTTGAGATCAGCTCCTGCCATGTTCGATTTATTTTGATTGAACATATCTTTTAGATAGCTTACTATATTGAAAGATCCCATCAGCGTTATATGAAGGAGTCTGTTGAAGACTTTACGTCACTTGCAAATGTATAGGTCTCAGTTTCAGATAAATAAATACACAACCATTAAGTTTACTTAATCCTCTTCCGTGCTTTACCATGATAGACCCATAATAGTTTATACCATTTATTGCCATTAATTGTTGAATATGACACGGACTCCTTTTTGTGCAAAAGATATGAATCCGTGTCACCTTTCTCGTGGTTAAACCACTCCTTAATCTCAGAAACTGAGTTCAAGCTGTTTTCCTTACATGTTACAAACCGGCATGTCCTTTTAACTTATGAGTATGCTGTAAAGTGAAATAAATAATTGTGTGACTCAAGGATAATATGAAAGAATGTTTTTTTGCTTCAGGCCTAGAAATTACTTGAATCCAAACACCATTACAAAACAATCCGTCTACTATCTAAGTTTTTAACTCTCATTATGGGTAGTTCATCATTTTCATTCGGTAACTAGTTTTGGACATCAAAGATATTTTATTCTATTTCCTGAATTTCATGTTTTGATCAAATAATTTCAGATATAAGCGATCCAGCTGTAACTCTTCAACTCTGCTCACATTCACAATCAAGGATAAATCAATTCTTCTTCAGAATGTTATTGGTAGATATCATTCATATATGGCATAATCATGTTTCTAATACGACCCACTGAACATATTTTCTGATCTTAAGTTCACTGACCTAGGTTCCAACTACTTACAAACCTCTATATACCAAAATAATATTTAGATCGTTCTAGTATTCAAGATAACTTTGTCCTTGTATTCAGCTCTAAGTATCAGAATACCGATTGTAGGTAAACCTTTATCTTTATTCACTTGAAATAATTTAAATATATGTGAGTTTATGTACAAGAATTCTAAAATTGCGAAATAGCCTGAATAAAGAACATTAATTTCTGGACAATCAAGCTTTAATTACCAATGAATAAAGCAGTAGTAAATGAGCTTAACGGAATCCTTCGATATGCGGAATTCAAGAATAAAATATTCCAGTTATTTCATAATTATTAGATCAAAGGGTATACAGTATTAATTCGTAAAGAGTTTCCAAAAGTTATAACAATCTCGATATTTTATTCGTCAAAACATGTTTCCCATGTGATTTCGCTTAAAAGGACTTTTCGAATCCTGAAAACACTTTGTACTCGGTAGCGGAATGTTTGATAGAGTTATATGGACAAACTAAATGGAGCACTTATTAGCTCCATTGATTTTAACTATATGTAGTGACGTAATCTCTGATTGCTCTCTCACCAGTCATACTTATGCCTTCTCGTTATGCGGGATAAAAGTGTGATGTGTTGTATCCTTTTGTGTAAATATATATATTGTTTTTTGCCAAGTGAAGTGACATTGAACTCTAGCCTAACTATTTGCCGAGTTGAAATCATTTTCATCTTTGGAGACTTACAACCGGTTGTTGAATGATTGATGATAAATGATGAAGGTCAGTAGACGCTAATTCGAGTTGATTAATGCGTAGTATAACGTGCTAATGCTACATAATTCTCCAATCCGATCTGGTAAGTAAATAAGTATTTTTAATGTGGTGTTGGCCATACCCTTCAAACAACAAATACAATTTAATACGACATATTGAATTTAAAGATGAAAGAGGTACATAAGTTATTATATTAGAAAAACCAAGTGATACTCTCGCAATTTTCTCGTCTCTGACTTTTCTGACCCTTTCTGTTCTGCATCGACTCTACTGTTTAGTGTTTAATGTCTGAAGATAGAGTAAGTTTGGTTTGAACGATAATCTGGTTAGAATTTATTGTTACACCACTGTCACTAGAAGTTCATTGTAAGTCCTAGACTTAATCCTCCAACTACTTTGATCAGTAAATTCTGGATCACTTTCATCCTTTCATGTGAATATGGAATCATCGCACAGAAGAACTACCTAAACTACTTAAAAGTGTCTTGTAGATGATGATATTTGATGGCGTTTGACATTTATGTATCAGATGCCCGACTCACTTATCTTAAACTGGAAGCTCCACTGTCCAGAGACGCCACAGACTAGCCTAATAGCAGATATCCAGACTGAAAATAAAGTGCAGGTTGACCGAATAAATCTACTATATATGTGGTAAGGAAAAAATAAAGACGAAGACAAAATGCAACTTACCTCATTCATAAATCTACAATAAAATTCAATAAGTTAACTGCTCTCTTTGGTCAGTAATGATATTGAAAGCAACGGTGATATATATGAGTCAAGTAGCGACATCATCGTTGAACAATCAATTAAATGCAACTTATCACTACAAATCAAATTCCTTGATTATGAAAAGGCGTTTGACTGTGTGGATGTGAGAACATTATAGAAATGTCTTCGACACTATAGTGTGAGTGGCTGGGAAAATCTTCAACGTAATCAAACGGACTCCATTCGATGGACTACACTGCAAATTCGTACATGGAGGACAGCTGACAGATGCATTCCAAGTAAGAGCCGGAGTTAGATAAGACTGCCTACTCTCCTAAAACTTAAAACAACTGTCATCCAATATCAAAGTCACAATCTTCAATACGAATGTCAAGACAGTGAGATCTACTGTATCGAGCTGAAACTCGGAAAACTACCGCAACCGTAATAAAAAACGTACATGAATTCATAAACAGCTGTCTACGCAAGATACTCAATGTTTGTTGACCGGATACCACCAGCAGCAGCTGATGGTGGAAATTAGGAAAAGACGTTGGAAGTGGATAGGACACACATTGATGGAATCAAACCGCATCACGAGGGCAGCGCTGACTTGGAATCCTGAAGTGAAACGGAAAAGGGGAAGGGTGGAGAACACACTGAGTCGAGATTTAGAAACAGACATGAATAGCAACTGGAAACAAATGGAAAGGATTGTCCAGGACAGAGTTGGATGGAGAGTGCTGATGGGCGGTCTATGGTCCTCCATGGGGGGTAACAGGCGTAAGGAAGCAATTGAAATTATATATATATATGATATGATATGAATACCAGAAATGGAGGGAAATTGAGTGGAACATAGATGTATGATTATTCTAAGAATATCGGACCATTGAAAGCTGGTTCATACTTTAAGCTAAATGACAATTATAACCGGTATAAAGTTTTGACAGATTATCAGTTGAAATTTTTAGTTTTATGTCAATAAATAATAGAGGAGTCTTGACAGATAGATACAACAAAACGTTTAGAATATGAATTTTTAAGGGTTCATTAGAATACCATGAATGATAGGCCTGGTGTACTAACAAATGAATTACACTATTGTATACATTTACCAATACGGTCAATAAAATTACCCAACAA